TTAGAAAACACGTGGGTATAAATATTCATTGCTATTATCGTTATTATAAAAAAATAAAATAGTTTAAACTTACATAACATTAATTTCGTCACCAAGAACGCCCCAATTGCCGTTACCAGCTCCAGATTTTTTTGGCTGACCACGTATATCTGTTAACGTCCCGCTAAAAAAAGAAAGGGTTGAATATTATGTTGTCATATATATTGTAAAATATATATTACGTAAAACATTTATAATAAATACCGTTGAAAATGTTTTTCATGATTAATATATTTCTTTTGATCGAATGGCATTTTACACTTTAGAATTATGGGAAAAAATTATCGTATATGAGAAAGAGAAAAAAGTTGAGACGATTGTTTTTATTATGCGTTTTAGTTATCGCAATTGCTTTTTTTGAAATAGAGGGTTAACTTCTTTTATAGATATTGAAGATCAAAATTCCCACACTAGGCTTTTAATTATGATTGTACAAGAAGGTCAGCAGATGTCTTGTGGATTCTCGTAAATTCTAGTCAAGGGAAAATAACTCCATTTATGTAAAAATCTGCAAATGACTCATCATTGTAATCATCGCTTATGCTGATCATTAATTATTTCTTCACACGATAATACATAAGTTTCGCTAGTTTTGGATCAATGGCGTGAATCTCTGAGAAAACAATTTATCTGTTTGTTTGTACGTGAGTCATCTACCGGTTTTTGATTATCTACACTAAAATCTAAGGTTTCCCTGTGACGTATTGTTGATCGTAAATCATTCACAATACAGCAATATACTGTACATTCACTACGTATACACTTTCACTCTATATACACCAAGTACGTATGTACATTCACTATATATATTCACATTCACTATACGTACGTAGTGATTTATTACCTGAGGTCTTAAGTACATATTATTGGTTGTATATTAGATAAAAAGTTTACACAACTTTATTAACATCAATAAATCAAATAATTGAATCATCAAATAATTGAGTCAGTGAATGAACAATTGAATCGTGGCTAATAGAGAATGGAATTCTTGTTTACTTGATTGTTTTCTTCGCCCCATAATTACGTACATTTGTTTGAATTTGTTTGAATGTTTAAAATATATACTATTGTACTTTTTTAAATAATATACAACAAACGTTTCCGAATGACGATAAAAGCTGCACAAATGTTTCGCTCTTTTATTTCAGTGTGACAAATTACAGTACATCAGTATAAATTTTATATATTTGATTGGTCCATATTAATTCACTTGATTAGCGGTCCAGCTTTAAAAGCGATGTACTTACTCTAATAAAATGGTTTTCTTGGTAAACATCCTTCTAAGTCTAATACGAAAACCCACCCATAA